TATAGTCACCTCCCATATAATCACATCATATGTAATCACATTTTTATTTAGGCCAAACTATAATTTAATTTATAAGAGAAAAACCTCTATATAAGCACATTTTTAAAAAAATTTACTATGTGCCCAACTGTGTGATTGTATAGGAGGATGACTGTACTTAATAAAAAAACTTCAAGATCAAAGAAAAAAAAAAAGGAAGTTTGAAACCAAAAAAGAAAAATACCAAAACGAATACTACAAAAAAACTATATCAAAAACCCTAAACAGAAAGAAAAAAAAAAAAGACATGATAAAAAAAAAAGAAACAAAATTGGCAAGAGCACTATTATAACCTGTGCCAGGTTAAAAAAATATTATATATGTGACTTCGGGATAACGTATATCTTACGTGATACTAATAAAAGCACCTAAAAAAACTAAAAACCCTTTTATGAATTAAATCTAATAATAGAAATCGCCACATGCTCTGCACATGTTTGTTGTTTCCCTAATTTGCCATATCACAATAACAACTTCTAAAAATAGAAGTGGTAAACAATGTCGATCATTTGGAGGGAGGTAGCCAAATCTCTAGTTTTTTCGAAAAATTTTGTAAAAAAATGATAACGAGTAGGAGATAAGTGCAGAAAGGCCAAATTTCGAGAGAGTGTGTTGAAAAAAAAGGTAAAGAATCTGTTGTACCCCTGAACTCCAAAAATAAACTTTGTAGTTTCATCGACAGAACTTTTGTTCTACCAAAATTTACACACAGAGAGAGTGCCATCTGCCTTTTTCTTTTTTATATATTTGCTTCTAGCTTGCATGCTGAATATAGAGAGGAGTCCCCTGTAAAACCTAGGTTGATCTCTTGTTGTCTAAAAACTACTACTAAAGTTTTTTCAAAGCTATAGACTATGTAGCTTTGTTAATGGACCTTTTGTTGTCCACCAAAATTTTTACTAGCCAAGAGTGCCACTTGTATTTTCCTCTTAACAAGGCTTCTGGCTTGTATGCCAAATGTGGCAAGGAGTCTCCAGAGTACGTTGATCTTGATTTTTAGAGCCACAAACCACAACTATAGTCTACTCAACTCTCTAACAGATTTTCTTTTAGTTTTTTTTGTTAGAAGAAAATTTGGTTCAAGTGATCAACAGAAAGAGTTTTGTTTTTTTTTTGTTTAATATGATTGAATTTTATTTAAATTTGTAATTTTTTATAAAGAATTAATAAAAAAATTTTTTATATCTCTTTTAAAGTCATCCTAATAGTAGTCAGGTGAAATATCAAGTTTATCCAACGCTAATACTTTTCAGGAAATAAACCAAATAATCGATGAACATCATCCGAAGATAAAAATTGTTAGTTATTATTTTTTTTTTGGGTTTCTTAACATTTTTTATTTGTTATAAAAGTTTTCTAGCACAAAAGAGTAAAAAAGTAATTTGTTGTTAAGATCCATATTGTTAGAAGTGTATTTAGTGCAAAGTATAAGTGCAATATATAATGATTCAATCGTAAAAAAAAAGATTTGATAATAAAAAAAATAATGGTTTGATCATAAAAAAAAATTGACTTGATAGTAAAAAAAGAATAATTTGATCATAAAGTGTTTAAATAATCTCTATGATAAATTTTGGCCAATCAGCGCAGCTCTATAAAGAAAAAAGATGGTCACTAACTATCTTTTTTTTTGACTGCAGTGATAAACTCTCTTGACCGGCTGAGCTAATTTCCATTAATTAAAATTTATATACCGATCTATTGATTAAGCACTCAATCATTGATTGCAATCTTTATATTCATTGATTGTAATGATTGTGCGTCATCTCAATCACTATCTAATCACACTCAGGAAGATGCTTGAGAGCACCCTTAATTAGAGTTTTTTAATCAATAGGTTTTCAATAGTCAGAAATTTATTATTGATAAAGATCGCTCAAGTATTATTTTTGCATTTTTTACATGATAAACAAAAATAGATAATTTATTTTTGATGCTTGAAGCCTTTAAAGCAAATAATCAATACCTTGTATAAACATAATAAATGCAACCTATCTTTTAACCTTCGATCAAACTATAATGAATAATACTTTTCGTTTTTCATTCACTTAATTTAATAATTTTTCAGCAAAGATGACCCAAAAATTGAAGGATTTGGGTCAATGTTTTTCTATATTTAACGGATAATAAAGGTTATAACTTTTTCAAAAAATATTTTCATATTACCAATGATACTTTTAGTGTGAAATAGCATATGCAGAATTACTATAGATAGCGCAAATTTTGAATCTGTACTTAAACATAACCAATCAGATCATGGCTTTATTTGCGTCGATTTTTTAAGACTTAATATTTTTATAATTTCTAACGATGATTACTGTAAAAATTTTTTATTTTAATTCTATATATTTATAGAGTTAAAATAAAAAAAAGTTACCTTTTTTATTGATAAACGTTAAAAATACGAAAGTGTTTAGTATGTCGTCGATATTGACATATTAGACCCCTCAGCTGAATTTTCGACCTCAGCTAAAATGGGCAAAGAATCGATTCTGTCTTTAATCTGAACGAAATTATCAACTATCTTTTTCAGATAAGATTTCATCTTTAATGAATTTTTTAAAAAATTTTTCACGACCTGACGATCCGAAACTCTTAAGAGAATTGTGTATTTGCATATTTTAAAAGAACGATAAAAAGAATTATTATAGGAAGTCGATCCCGAAGAATAACACTCGATTACGTATTACTTGAATCCCAACAAATGTATTTGGAGGAGCTCGTTGATCAAGCATCCCGCATCATCACATTCAACATTTCTTCCTTTAAACAGGTTTTCAAATTTCACATCAATTCCATCTTTACAAAGACAATTTATTTTTTTCCAATCAGCTTCTTGTTTATCTGCGCGAGGAGCTAAACACGAAATTTCTGCAAAAGACAATTCCCATTTAGCTGAGTCAAGCATCAGAAAAACCTGTAAGTCTGGCCTATTCCCAGATTGGACAGAATGCATCGACTCTTTTCGCATTTGTAATGAATCTCCTAAATATTTAAAATTAGATGTAATTATATGAAATATATAAGGCATACATTTTAAGGCAATTACCATGAACGCTTAAGACTTCATTTAAAATAATTAAATATAGGATCCACTGCTCTGGAGACCGCGTGAATTATATAGGAGTTTTCACTATACTCACTTTCTCCTAGTAATGGCCTCAAACTCCAACAATTTCTCCTACAAATTTTATGTTATAATGATAATGTGATTATTATTCCAACTTACAACCCTTCTAGCGGATCGAAAGCTGTTAGCAGTGTTCCACGCGCATTTAAGTTACTTTCATCTCATGGAAAAGTAATTGTGTTAGCAAGGGCTGGATCAACGTCGGGACCAATATTACCATGTAGATGTTGATTTAACATTAACGTACCCCAGCAAAAGTAAAATTTTTTAAAAACTATCTGACTAAAATTGATTGAAATTTTTTTTTTATTTGAATTCTGAGTCCATAGAATTCAAATAAAAAAAAAATTTATTGATTTTGATCAGGCGGTTGTGGAGATATCTTCGCTCAAAGTTAGAGAAAAATCAAACGCCTATCAAAATAGAAGCTGCGGCAAATTTTTTCTAAACTTTGAGCGAAGATATCTCTACAACCACCTGACCAAATCGATGAAAACTTTTATTTAAATTCTATTAATATATACAATTCAAAAAGAAAAAAGTTTCATTGATTTTGGTCAGATAATTTACCGAAGCTTCTATTTTGTAGGTGCCGTGCGGCAGATCCTCGATGTTGATTGGCTAAGAGCGACGATCAAAAAATTAGGCCGGAATTATTCATAATTTTACTAATGAAATCGCAGCTGTCTACTAAGTGAAAATTGTTCCTGGGCCAATTTTACTTTATTTTTTAAAATTTCCTGTAATGAAAATCAAAAAGTTAATTCCGGCCGGAAATTAGTAAACAATTATGTAATGCGGGCCAAAATTTCGAAGATTCTCGGCCGTTAG